ACACACTGCGTGGAATAGACAAGGTGGACAAAGACAGGATGTTCCAGGGAGGGGACACAGAAACAAGAGGCCACAATTGGAAAATTGAAGACACAAATGAGTCAGAGAGATAGTAGGAAGTATTTCTTCAGTCATAGAGTTGTAAGGCAGTGGAATAGCCTAGAAAATGACGTAGTGGAGGCAGGAACCATACACAGTTTTAAGACGAGGTTTGATAAAGCTCATGGAGCGGGGAGAGAGAGGGCCTAGTAGCAACCGGTGAAGAGGCGGGGCCAGGAGCTAGGACTCGACCCCTGCAACCACAAATAGGTGAGTACAAATAGGTGAGTACACACACACTCATACACACAAACTCATTCACACATACACTCACACACACAAACACACACACACACACAAACACACACATACGCAAACACACTCACACACACACAAACACACATACACAAACTCGTACACACACACACACATACACACACACACACTCTCATACACATACACACACAAAAAAAAAAACTCACACACTAACACACACACACACACACGTGAGTACACACACACACACACACACACACACACACACACACACACACACACACACACACACACACACACACACACACAGGAGCTTGGACTCAACCCCTGCAATATCAACTAGGTGAGTGCACACACATACACACACACACACGCACACACACACACGCACACACACACACGCACACACACACGCACACATGTGGTAATGCTTTATTTACAGCTAGCAAAGTCAGGGTATTTCTCCAGAATGGTCTGTAATATACCACTGTGGATAAAATACTTTGCCATTTCTTGAACACTTCTGAGTGAGTTGTTTCTAAATTCATTAATTTTATCGCACTCCAGTACATAATGACGCAGGGTGTGACAATAGTCCATCTGGCAAAGTTTACATTTCGTTTGGTCTACATCTGGTGGTGGTGATTTAACCTGCCAAAGATACTTGTAACTCAGCCGGAGCCGGGCAGTAGTGACATCCAAGAGTCTGCTTATTTTGTAGGATGCACAATATCAGTGTACGTGCTCAGCTCACACCATCAGTGGACGTGCTCAGCTCACACCATCAGTGTAAGTGCTCAGCTCACACCATCAGTGTACGTGCTCAACACACACCTTCTGTGTACGTGTTCAGCTCACACCATCACTGTACGTGCTCAACACACACCATCTGTGTACGTGTTCAGCTCACACCATCAGTGTACGTGCTCAGCTCACACCATCAGTGTATGTGCTCAGCTCACACCATCAGTGTACGTGCTCAGCTCACGCCATCAGTGTGCGTGCTCAGCTCACACCATCAGTGTACGTGCTCCGCTCACACCATCAGTGGACGTGCTCAGCTCACACCATGAGTGTAAGTGCTCAGCTCACACCATCAGTGTACGTGCTCAACACACACCTTCTGTGTACGTGTTCAGCTCACACAATCACTGTACGTGCTCAACACACACCGTCTGTGTACGTGTTCAGCTCACACCATCAGTGTACGTGCTCAGCTCACACCATCAGTGAATGTGCTCAGCTCACACCATCAGTGTACGTGCTCAGCTCACGCCATCAGTGTGCGTGCTCAGCTCACACCATCAGTGTACGTGCTCAACACACACCATCTGTGTACGTGCTCAGCTCACACCATCAGTGTATGTGCTCAGCTCACACCATCTGTGTACGTGCTCAGCTCACACCATCAGTGTACGTGCTCAGCTCACACCATCAGTGCACGTGCTCAGCTCACACCATCAGTGTACGTGCTCAGCTCACACCATCAGTGTACGTGCTCAGCTCACACCATCAGCGTATGTGCTCAGCTCACACCATCAGTGTACGTGCTCAGCTCACACCATCAGTGTACGTGCTCAGTTCACACCATCAGTGTACGTGCTCAGCTCACACCATCAGTGTACGTGCTCAGCTCCCACCATCTGTGTACGTGCTCAGCTCACACCATCAGTGTACGTGCTCAGCTCACACCATCAGTGTACGTGCTCAGCTCACACCATCAGTGTACGTGCTCAGCTCACACCATCACTGTACGTGCTCAGCTCACACCATCAGTGTACGTGCTCAGCTCACACCATCAGTGTACGTTCTCAGCTCACACCATCAGTGTACGTGCTCAGCTTACTCCATCAGTGAACGTGCTCAGCTCACACCATCTGTGTACGTGTTCAGCTCGCACCATCAGTGTACGTGCTCAGCTCACACCATCAGTGTATGTGCTCAGCTCACACCATCTGCGTACGTGCTCAGCTCACACCATCAGTGTACGTGCTCAGCTCACACCATCAGTGTACGTGATCAGCTCACACCATCAGTGTACGTGCTCAGCTCCCACCATCAGTGTACGTGCTCAGCTCACACCATCAGTGTACGTGCTCAGCTCACACCATCAGTGTACGTGCCATCATCTCATCACCCATCAGTGTACGTGCTCAGCTCACACCATCAGTGTACGTGCTCAGCTCACACCATCAATGTACGTGCTCAGCTCACACCATCCGTGTACGTGCTCAGCTCACACCATCAGTGTACGTGCTCAGCTCACTCCATCAGTGTACGTGCTCAGCTCGCGCCATCAGTGTACGTGCTCAGCTCACACCATCAGTGTACGTGCTCAGCTCACTCCATCAGTGTACGTGCTCAGCTCACACCATCAGTGTACGTTCTCAGCTCACACCATCAGTGTACGTGCTCAGCTCACTCCATCAGTGTACGTGCTCAGCTCACTCCATCAGTGTACGTGCTCAGCTCACACCATCAGTGTACGTGCTCAGCTCACACCATCAGTGTACGTGCTCAGCTCACTCCATCAGTGTACGTGCTCAGCTCACGCCATCAGTCTACGTGCTCAGCTCACACCATCAGTGTACGTGCTCAGCTCACACCATCAATGTACGTGCTCAGCTCACACCATCCGTGTACGTGCTCAGCTCACACCCATTGTACGTGCTCAGCTCACTCCATCAGTGTACGTGCTCAGCTCACGCCATCAGTGTACGTGCTCAGCTCACACCATCAGTGTACGTTCTCAGCTCACACCATCAGTGTACGTTTCTACAGCTCACTCCATCAGTGTACGTGCTCAGCTCACTCCATCAGTGTACGTGATCAGCTCACACGATCAGTGTACGTGCTCAGCTCCCACCATCAGTGTACGTGCTCAGCTCACACCATCAGTGTACGTGCTCAGCTCACACCATCAGTGTACGTGCTCAGCTCACACCATCAGTGTACGTGCTCAGCTCACACCATCAGTGTACGTGCTCAGCTCACACCATCAATGTACGTGCTCAGCTCACACCATCAGTGTACGTGCTCACTCACACCATCAGTGTACTGCTCAGCTACTCCATCAGTGTACTGCTCAGCTCGCGCCATCAGTGTACTGCTCAGCTCACCCCCAAACAGTGTACGTGCTCAGCTCACTCCATCAAATGTACGTGCTCAGATCACACCATCATGTACGTTTTCAGCTTTACACCATCAGTTTTACGGCTTTAGCCACTTCATCATGTACGTGCTCAGTCACTCCATCAGTGTACGTTTCTCAGCTCACACCATCAGTGTACGTGCTCAGCTCACACCATCAGTGTATGGCTCAGCTCACTCCATCAGTGTACGTGCTCAGCTCACGCCATCAGCTACTGCTCAGCTCACACCATCAGTGTAACGTGCTCAGCTCATCACCATCAATGTACGTGCTCAGCTCACAATACCTGTACTGCTCAGCTCACACCCTAGTACTGCTCAGCTCACATCCATCAGTGTACGTGCTCAGCTCACACCAATCGTGTACGTGCTCAGCTCAACCATCATGTACGTTTCTCAGCTCACACCATCAGTGTTTCGTGCTAGCTCACTCCAATCAGTGTACGTGCTCAGCTTTACTCCATCATTTTAGTGCTCAGCTCACCCACAGTTGTACGTGCTCAGCTCAAACATCATGTACGTGACTCAGCTCACTCCACAGTTTAGTTGCCAGCTCAACGCCATCAGTCTACGTGCTCAGCTCACACCATCAGTGTACGTGCTCAGCTCACTCCATCAGTGTACGTGCTCAGCTCACACCATCAGTGTACGTGGTTTGATCCCAGGTATGGTTAGAAATATTTGGCGTGTTTCCTTGTGACACATGCTGTCCCTGTTCACGTAGCAGCAAGTAGGTACCTGGGTGTTAGCCGTTTGGTGTGGATTGCTCTGTATAACTTGGGACTTTCTAAATAGCACGTCACTGTTATTAGCTAGGTTTGTATAAGTTCTAACATTTACTTGTAGAAATAAATATTGTTATTAGTGTTATTACAGCTGTGAAATAAGTAGCTATGTGGTAACAGATTGTTATGGGTCGCATCTTTGGAGAAAACGCTATTGAAAAAGAAAGTTATATTGTGTATTGCTTTCTTGGTTTATCTTGTGTTAAAAAAACTTTCGTCAAAACAGATAGCATAAAACTTCAAATTGAATTATTAATGCAAATGCCAAGAAGACAACTAATGAAAAAATTACATATCACTGTACAGTAATATAATCTGCTTAATAAAAACTTCACACAAATCGTCTGCAATTTTAAATAATAAAGATTAAAGTTTTTATAATTGTTCTAGTACACAAAAATACTTAGTGAAGCTTCTTGCAATCCAGTCATGCGAATGAGAGATATAAGATAATGAGATAATGTAGATACGGTATTTAATTAAGTAGTAGTCTGTAGGCTCAGATTTTACACTTGAGATAATATGCCCTCACAGTTGGAGAGTATCTTAAATACACTCAATGAAAGACAGACTGGAAGAGGATTTTGATGGTATAGGGACTATTAAGCCAATCCTCACAACATGCAATAACTCTATTTTGGACCTAGTGTTTTTAACTGTAGTTATTGGATGCTTATGCCTTGACAATAGCTCTAGAGTATTACTTTTATGATATTTAGCTATAAAAGTGAAAGATAAAGTTTAAAAATCGTATGGACACAGATCAATTAACCAAGAATATAGAGCAAAGTATACTTTTGCACATACTGTAGGTTTTGTGCTTGTGATATGACTAAGTTGTAGGTTAGAAGTTCGCCTGTATTGTGTCTAGGTTGTAGATTAATTTCCTCATTGTTGCAGAATTTCCATGGCCATACTTTCACCATCGTGACTATGGATTACGCTCCTTTCACCTTCTATGAAGTTAAGAAAGGTGTGGTCCACCTGAAGGAGTGTGTGGACGATTTCTTGCTCAGAGCAATGTCTTCAGCGCTCAACTTCACGTACAGCATCAGGGAGCCCCCAGACGGCCAGTGGGGCCTACGACTCGAAAACGGTTCCCACACTGGTCTGAACATTATTACTATGGTCACCTAAAATGTTAAACCAGCGCTAGTTTGATACATGAAGTTATTCGGCCACTAACTGTCTAAAGCCATAACCATTTTATTTTCAATTTCACTTATTATAATCGCTGAGATGAGCTAAACTAATAGCAGTACAGTAAAAGTATTCCTTAGATAGGGATGTTATGTCACCATGGTTGTTTAACATATGTATAGATGGGGTTGAAGAAGAAGTTGCAAGACGTCTGAGTTCTGAGACAGTCAGCCTTGTTCCGAGGAAGACTATGATAATTCTAATTATTCAGAGTAAAAGCCCATCATCAACATAAGAGATTCCCTCCCTATCTCTCTTGAAAGTATTTTTAATTTCAATAAGTTACTATAATGGGAAACCTTTTATTTTAATTTTCAAAAGACTGCATATGGTAGGAAACCTGATACTTAAGTTTATGGTGCAATGTTTTCTATATATTGACTTAACTTTATGTAGCATCATGTATCTTTCTTCTCTGGTCTGTCCTTTTTGTTCTTCAATTACTGCATAGTTCCACTTCCCTCACATTCCTTGTCACCTACTTGTGATCTCCGTTTGTAGGTGTGATAGGAGAACTGGAGAAGTACAAAGCAGATTTCTCCCTCAACATTGCTATAATAGGTGAGAGGGAGGAGGTGGTGGACTACACAGTGGGATACTTCAACGACCCTCTCACCTTCTGCACCAGTAAACCTCGACCCCTCAACCAGGCCCTCGCTCTCATCAGACCCTTCAAACCCTTGGTATAGTACTTTTCTTTTATATTCATGCTGAAGTGGGGGATTTCAACTTAAGGCACCTAAAATGGAAGAATATAGCAAATAATGTTGTTGCAGAGATATCACCACGAGGCAGCTCAGATGAAAACTCACACACACACGAACTTTTAAATCTCTGCACAAAATTCACATTAAACCAACAAATAATAGAGCCTAGTAGATTGGAGAATGGTTTAAAAAGACACTGTGACATATATATTAGAAAACGTTTCGGTCCTGGGACCTTGATCACTTCTAACATGTTAGAAGTGATCAAGGTCCCAGGACCGAAGCGTTTTCTAATAAATATATCATAGTGTTTGCTTACGTGTCTTTCTAAACCAACTTGTCGGTATTTATTACCGAGGTTTATACCAGACTGGGTTATACACTGGAGCTCATCTTCGCTAACAATGATGATCTGATACGAAATGTCACCATATCAAAAACAATATACTCAGATCACAATATAATAGAGGTTCAGACATGTATGCGCGGAGCCCCAGACTGACAAAAAGTGATCAGTCACGAGGGATCCTTCACCAAATCCAACTTCAATAAGAAGAGCATAAAGTGGGACCAAGTAAACTAAGTCCTAAATGATATAAGCTGGGAAGACAGACTAAACAACACAGACCCCAACCTATGCCTATAACAGATTAATTATGTGGCACTCGATGTATGCTCAAGGCATATTCCTTTAAGAAAAAAGAGAAGATGTAAATTAGAAAGAGAAAGGCGCTCCCTTTACAGGTAAAGGCAAAAAATAATAGAACGGCTAAAAGAGGCCATTATATCTACATTACGTAGGGAGACACTGGTCAGAGAAATAGCAAACATCGAACTAAAGCTAAAGGAATCCTACAGGAGTCAAGAATCGCGAGGAAGAACTAAAAGCCATAAATGAAATCGAAAGAAACCCAAACTATTTCTTCTCTAATGCCAAATCAAAGTCGAGAACAACATCCAGTATTGGGCCCCTACTTAAACAAGATGGGTCCTACACAGATGACAGCAAGGAAATGAGTGAGCTGCTTCAAGTCCCAATATGACTCGCTTTCAGCGAGCCGCTAAACAGACTGAGAGTCGAAGATCTAAATTAATTTTTTATGAGAGAGCCACAGAATTTGGTAAGCACAAGCCTATCTGGCATTATCCTGACGCCAAATGGCTTCGAACAGGAGATAAATGACATGTCCATGCACTTTGCCCCAGGCGCAGACTCGTGGAGCTCCGTGTTCATCAAGAACTGCAAGAAGCCACTATCAGGTGCTTTGAACATCCTATGGAGAGGGAGCATGGACACTAGGGTTGTCCCACAGTTACTAAAATCAACAGACATAGCCCCACTCCACAAAGGGGGCAGTAAAGCAATAGCAAAGAACTACAGACCGATAGCGCTAACGTTTTATATCATAAAAATCCTTGAAAGGGTTCTGAGAAGCAAGATCGCCACCCAACTAGATACCCATCAGTTACACATCCCAGGGCAGCATGGATTTAGAGCAGGTCGCTCCTGTCTGTCCTAACTACAGGACCACTACGACAAGGTCCTGGATGCTCTAGAAGACGAACAGAATGCAGATGCAATATACACAGACTTTGCAAAAGTCTTCGACAAGTGTGACCATGGTGTAACAGCGCACAAAATGCGTGATAAAGGAATAACAGGAAAAGTTGATAAATGAATCTATAATTTCTTGACAAATAGAACACAAAGAGTAGTAATCAACAGAGTAAAGTCTGAGGCGGCTACGGTGAAAAGCTCTGTTCCACAAGGCACAGTACTCGCTCCAATCTTGTTCCTCATCCTCATATCGGACATAGACAGGGATATAAGCCACAGTGCCGTGTCTTCCTATACAGATGACACCCGAATCTGCATGACGGTGTTCTCCATTGAGGATACTGCAAGGCAGACATCAACCAAATCTTTAAATGGGCTGCAGAAAACAATATGAAGTTCAATGATGAGAAATTTCAACTACTCCGATATGGTAAACGTGAAGAAATTAAAATTTCATCGGAGTATAAAACAAATTCCAACCTCACAATGGAGTGATAAACTAACGTCAAAGACCTGGGAGTGATCATGTCAGAGAAAAATGACATGATGGACAATGAGAACCTTCAAAACTAGGGATGGCAGGCCTATTATGACATTCCTCAAGTCGCTTGTTCTATCTAGGCTGGAATATTGCTGCACACTAACAGCACCTTTCAAGGCAGGTGAAACTGCTGACTTAGAAAATGTACAGAGCACCTTCACGGTACGCATAACTGAGATAAAACACCTCAGTTACTGGGAACACTTGAAGTTCCTAAACCTGTACTCTCTAGAACGCAGGCGGGAGAGATACATGATTATATACACCTGGAAAATCCTAGAAGGATTAGTACCAGACTTACACACGAAAATCTCGCCCTACGAAAGCAATAGACTCGGCAGACGATGCAACATCCCCCCCAGTGAAAAGCAGGGGTGACTCTAGCATGTTAAGAGACAACACAATTAGTGTTAGGGCACCAAGACTGTTCAACTGCCTCCCAGCATGCATAAGGGGGATTACCGATAGACCCTTGGTTGCCTTCAAGCAGGCACTGGACAGGCACCTAAAGTCAGGACCTGACCAGCCGGGCTGTGGTTCTTATGCTGGGTTGCGTGTGGCCAGCAGTAACAGCCTGGTTGATCAGGCCCTGATCCAGCATGAGGCCTGGTCACAGACCGGGCCGCGGGGACGTTGGCCCCCGGAACTCTCTCCAGGTAAATACTTAGTAAGTTTAGTTTAATGCTAAAGAGCTTTAATAAATTTACCTTCATGAAGTTGTTAAAGCCACATGATGTAAGCACAAAGACCAGAGTGATCACATAGTACCTGGGTAATGAGAAGCTTGGAGAACCAGGGATGTGAACTCAGGCTTCATCTGACGATAACTTTGCTTCCTACGACTAAGAGACTTAAAAACATTATGCAGAAAAAAACAGACCAATTTTAAGGTTTCCATTTAGATTACCTAAAGAAGATTCCGAGGGTCACCACCTCTGCAGCCATCAACCTTTCTGGTAGATAGCCTGATCAACTAGTCTGTTAGAGTTAGCTGCATGCAGTTCAATATAGGCGCAGCCCATCTGATCAGGAGCTAACTTGAGTTTGTCCAGTCCCTCTTGTAGACAATTAGAAGTCTGATGATAGTTTTCCTTATAAGAAGAAGAACATGTGAAAGAAGGAACACTGCAACAGGCCTATTGACCCATTCGGAGCAGGTCCATTTCCTCCCCCCGGATTAGCCCAATGACCCACCTAGTCTGGTCACCTCCACTCAAGGAAGGAGCACGGCACCAGACCCAGCAGCACAAGCTAGTCAGGTCCAACTCACACCCACCCACACCCACTCGTGTATTTATCTAACCTATTTTTAAAACTACACAACGTTTTAGCCTGAATAACTGTACTCGGGAGTTTGTTCCACTCTTCCACAACTCTATTACAAAACCAGTGCTTTCCTATATCCTTCCTGAATCTGAATTTTTCCAACTTGAAACCATTGCTGCGAGTCCTGTCTTGGCTGGAAATTTTCAGCACACTATTTACATCCCCTTTATTTATCCCCGTTTTCCATTTATACACCTCGATCATATCCCCCCTAATTCTATGCCTTTCGAGAGAGTGCAGATTCAGGGCCGTCAGTCTGTCCTCATAGGGAAGATTTCTGATACATGGGATCATCTTTGTCATCCTCCTCTGTACGTTTTCCAGAACATTTGTATCCATTCTGTAATACGGTGACCAGAACTGAGCAGCATAGTCTAAATGAGGCCTAACCAAGGATATATAGAGTTGAAGAGCAACCTGAGGACTTCTATTATTTATACTTCTAGATATGAAGCCAAGAATATTGCGAACACTAATGCACTGTTGTCTTGGTTTTAAATTACTGCTAACCAGAACTTCTAAATCCTTTTCGCAATCAGTACTATTAAGATCTACATTATTTAGTTTATATGTGGCATGGTTATTTACCTGTCCAACATTTAGAACTTTGCATTTGTCAGTATTGAACTGCATCTGCCACTTCTCCGACCATTGCATCAGTCTATTCAAATCATCCTGGAGTGCTCTAGTGTCCTCATAAGAATAAGTTGGACGGCCTATTTTGGAGTCATTAGCAAATTTGCTTATGTCGCTATTTATTCCCTCATCTATGTCGTTTATGTAAATAGTGAACAAAAACGGACCCAACACTGACCCCTGAGGAACACCGCTTGTGATGTGCCCCCATTCCGATTTCTCTCCATTTATGCAAACTCTCTGCTGCCTATTTGTCAGCCATGCCTCTACCCAGGCAAAAAATTTTCCTCCTATTCTATGTGCCTTAAGTTTCCTCAATAGCTTCTGGTGTGGAACTCTATCGAAAGCCTTACTGAAGTCCATATACACAATATCATATTCATTACCATGATCTACATCCTCAAACACCTTAGTGAAAAAAGTTAATAAATTCGTAAGACAGGAACGCCCTTTTGTAAAACCGTGTTGAGATCCATTAATCAATCTGTGCCTACCAAGATGGCTACGAATTGCTTCGGCAATTATTGATTCCATAAATTTTCCCGCTATGGAGGTAAGGCTTATTGGTCTATAGTTCGAAGCCAAGGACCTGTCACCTGCCATGTAAATAGGTATTACATTTGCCATTTTCCACTTATCAGGCACTATGCCAGTTTGTAGTGATACGTTAAAAAGATTAGCCAAAGGTATGCTAAGTTCCTCTTTACATTCCTTTAACACCCTTGCAAACAGTTCATCAGGGCCTGGGGATTTGTTAGGTTTTAGTTTCTCTATTTGTCTGAGGACCATGTCACTAGTTACCGCAATCGTGCATAGTTTATTATCGTCCTGTTCTGCATAATATATTATTTCAGGAATATTGCTAGTATTTTCCTGGGTGAAAACTGAGAGGAAGAAGATATTGAAAATTTCACACATATCCTTATCACTGTCAGTGATCTGACCAGAGTTACTCTTAAGTGGGCCAATCTTGTCCCTAATCTTACTTCTGTATATCTCAAAGAACCCTTTTGGGTTAGTCTTTGAATCCCTTGCGACCTTGGCCTCATAATCCCTTTTTGTTTTTCTTATTCCTTCTTTATTTATCTCTTTAATTGAATATATTGATTTCTTAACTGCCAATCCCCTCTTTTGATACGCGTATATATGCCTCTCTTTTGACCAATGAGATGTTTTAAACTATTGTTCATCCATTTGGGATCATTTTTGTTAGATCTAATTTCCGTACTCGGAACAAAAGTTGTCTGGGCAGCCAGAACTATGCTCTGAAAAACGTCATATTGGTAACCAAGATCACCTACCTGACCCATAGTCAGGACATCCAATTTAGCCCACCCTGGTAATTTTTCCGTCCCATGAAGTCGGCCAAGCGAACATCTGGGACAGAGATTTGATTGCAGTTATCTGGGTAATTCCATGATATATTGAAACTAAGTGATTTGTGATCACTTTCCCCAAGCTCATCATTAACCTCAAAATTATTAATTAGTGAATCTTTGTTGGCAAGAACCAAGTCAAGCAGATTGTTTCCTCTAGTTGGTTCTGTCACAACCTGTTCTAAAAAGCAATCCTGAACCGTATCAAGAAAGTCACTAGACTCAAGATTTCCTGTCATATTGTTCCAGTCAATTTGTCTAATGTTAAAATCTCCCATTATCACAACATTTTCATATCTAGATGCCTTATGAATTTCGTCCCATAACAGCTTACTGCACTCCCTATTAAGGTTTGGAGGCCTATAAATCACACCCAAAATTAATTTCTCACGTCTCTCAGCTTATGCCTGTTTGCTTTCATCATTGTTTTTAATACCCCTGAGTAGCTTGTAAGAACCTCGGGAGAACTTCATTAATAATTATGGGATTTTTAAATGGTGCTGGTTATTTGAACTTGGTATGAGAGGATTTATTTGTAATGAGTATTTATTCGTTGCTTTTGTTGTTTGTTAATCCTGTCTTTGCTTTTGTATGCCTGGGGTATACCTTCTAGAGGGCTTCGGGGGTCAACGCCCCCACGGCCCGGTCTGAGACCAGGCCTCGTGGTGGATCAGGGTCTGATCAACCAGGCTGTTACTGCTGGCCACACGCAAAATGACGTACGAATCACAGCCCGGCTGATCAGGTACTGACTCTAGGTGCAATTTTATGACTGAGTACTGAGTGACCTACGTAGTCAAAGTGTTCTGTAAATGTCACTACAACTGCTGCTACTCGCTGAATACCTGCTTTACGTCGGAGAAGTTTTGCAGTGTCTACCGAGCCTCTTGCTCGGAGTGCAGAGTTAGTGCAAAAACTACTAAAATAAAGTTAACGTGGTAACTCAAGTATGAACGTTATTGCATGTACAACAAATATTATTGTGAAAGTTAAGACACTTGTGCAACATCTGGTTATCTTTATTGTAAACGTTTCGCCATCCAGTGGCTTTATTAATACAAATTCTTGGACATAATTAGAAAACAGAAGAACTATATACAAAAGATGAGGTAATCAGTCCCTCAGCCTTGGAGGTGGTGTTTAGAGCACCACGGTGTTGTAAACACCACCTCCAAGGCTGAGGGACTGATTACCTCATCTTTTGTATATAGTTCTTCTGTTTTCTAATTATGTCCAAGAATTTGCATTGATAAAGCCACTGGATGGCGAAACGTTTACAATAAAGATAACCAGATGTTGCACAAGTGTCTTAACTTTCATCTTGTCGGTATTGTATACCTGTCTTGCACAAATATTATTGTGCTGCAGGTGTTGTGCCACACATGTTATTGTGCTACACATACTGTTCTACAAGTGTTGTTGCATGTGTGTTGCAGATGTGGGTGGGAATCACAGGAGCATTAGTGGTGATATGTGTGATGTATTACGTCGCCTGCCAGGTTACTCGCCCACACACCTCCACTTCCTTCTCTCTAGTGCTGCTCAACATCTTCGGAGCCTTCCTCTCGTACGCAGCTTTTAGTACTTTACCTGTCTCGCCAATAATACTTTTACCTGTTAACAATAATCTCCACTATAAAAAAGAAATTAGCTCTTAGTTTATGTTTAAAGTCAATTGATTTTGTACATGGGTCATTAAGCCTGCAAATCACCTGTTGTCACAAAAATATTAAAATTTTATTTATTTTTATGTAAATTAAAATACTAAACAATTCCGGTACATTCAGTCTATGTACTCTTTGTAATTGTGCTGAAATGTATATAAATTATAAGTTTGATAATTTTGTCCATGAACAGTTTAACAATAACAGTTAAGTGCTATTGTTATATTTAGTCTTAATCATTCATTATACTTCATTACTACTATATTACTATATGTTTATTACTTTCTATAATCTACTGGAACAATGTACACTTACACCATTATTGTTCAATCACCCCTTTTAACAGATATTAATATGTCTTCTTATTTACTTTCTGCAATTCATAATCATTTAAATATTTACCAGTTAACCCTAAATGCTCAATGCTGAAATGGACCCTGAACTGAATCTATATAATCTAAATCCCAATCAATATTTAAGTGAAAGCAATTGTCTTCACTACACAGCACCGGAAGCCAGTACTGTCCTCAGCAATTCCAGAAGTATTACAGTTTTGAATTACAATGTTAGATCCCTAAGTAAACACTGTGATGACCTCCTGGCACTCCTATATTAATTAAAGACAACCTTCTCCTGCATTATTATTAATGGAACCTGGCTTAAGCAAGATGCAATAGACATCTACACACTACCAGGACACACAACAATCCATAACTACAGTCCAGAACAAATTGGGGGAGGTATTGCCATCTATTATTCTAATGAACTATCATGTAGCAACATCAAATCTTTCAGTGATGAGTATGGTGAATATATATTTGCAAACGTCTCTGTAAAAAACTTAAAAAACCCTATAGCAATTGTGGCCGTATACAGTATGCTCCATACTAATATTCCAGCATTTAGTTGCTAAGCTAAAAACACTGATTAAAGATTCACAAATAAATAAGCACCACCTACTACTAGCAGGAGACTTCAACATCAACCTTGACCTAACAGATGACCAACCTGTATCTGACTTTATTAACAATATGAACAATACACTACTCATACCAACAATTACAAAACCAACAAGACTAACTGAGACGAGTGCAACCATAATTGACCCCCTAAAAGCGGGGATAATCATGGACAACACTGCTGATCACTACCCAACTTCCCTTCTAATAAACATTTGTAAGCATATAATGGAATATAATAAGTTCTCTTTTCGACTCTATGATGAGGCGTCAATAAGTAACTTCACTGCAGAACTAAGCTGAATTGACTGGTATTAATGAATGGGCAGACATATTTCTAAACAATATGTATAGACTAGTTAATAAACATTGTCTATAAAAACTAAACAGATACTAATAAAAGACTAAGTTACCCATGGCTTACTAACAGCATCCTAAGATTCATCAATATGAAACATCAATATGAAAAATCTAGAAGTTTAATAACTAAAGATTTTATCAAACACTATATGTCGGTCCTCACCAAGTTAATCAGAAAATCCATGCAACTGTATTATTCTAATAGATTCACTGAAACGAAAGGAGATAATAAAAAGAGCTGGAAGATTCAGATCCTGTTCATCACAACCCGTACAGAACTAGTAATATTGTGTTAATCAAACCAAACGAATCGAAATTCCAGCCTATTGATACAACTAACAAGATAAATGACTTCTTTCCAAACATTGGACCAAATCTCGCCAGTAAAATTCCAATTACCAATGCACGAGCTAATGATTATGTAGATGGAAACTTCCCAACATCCCTCTACCTTGCTTCGACAGACCCCACTGAGGTTACCATGATTATTAACTCGCAAAAAAAAAAAAAATCAGGAAATGTAACCCAAGTGCCACCACTACTGTACAAACTTGCGGCTCATATCCATTCACCCACCATTGCATTACTCTTTAATAAATCATTAGAAACCAACATTTCTCCGGCATCACTCAAAATACCAAGGATTACACCAATACACAAAGATGGTGACGCAACAGATGTAAACAACTGTAGGCAAATATCAAACTTTCCTTTACTTTCCAAAATTTTCGAGAAGCTCATTCACAAAAAGTTATTCTCCTTCATAACATCACAAAGCATCCGCAGCCCCTGTCAGTTTGGCTTCAGGAGAAACAAAAGAAAAACTGACGTAATAATAAAAATACTAGACCTACATTACACGGCACTTGAAAAAACGAATACCCGCTTGGACTCTTTATTTATCTACCTTAAGAAAGCTTTAGATACAGTAGATCACAGCATCCTACTCCTCAAGCTGTATCATTACGGTATAAGAGGACACGTACTTTCATATATCAAGTTGTACCTTACTAATAGAAAGCAATATTTCTCTTACCAAGGACAACTTCCTCAACAAGACCCCTGGACACTGGTGTACCACAGGAAAGCGTTTTTGGCCCCCTCGTTTTCCTTTCATACATCAACGACCTTCCAAGCGTGTCACAATAACTTACACCTATTCTCTTGCAGACGACACGACTTTTGTCATCTCCCAACCTAATGTAGCCTCACACAATACTATTGTTAATGAAAAGCTCACTAAAATAGCAGCCTGGATGACTGTCAATAAACTTACACATGATATAGACAAAACCTTTTACATTATCTTTGGGAGTAGAGCAAATGAAGTCCAACTAAACATTATGCTTAACAACATCCTTATTGCTATACGTAACGAGGGAAAATTTCTGGTCTACATCTTGACAGCATCCTGAAATTCAACTCCAATATCTAACATATAAAAAAAGTATCTAAAACAGTTGGCATCCTTTCAAAGACACGTTACTATGTACCACAAACAGCACTACTTACACTATATTATTTATGCCTGGTGTTCCACAACAACAAATCATCTAAAAACAATAATAACCCAACAAAAAGCTGCAGTGAGAATGATCACCACAAACCACAACTAGACAACCCCCTCCCACCAATTTTCAAAGACATAAACATACTCACTATACAAAACATTCACTCGTCTTACTGTGCAACATACATTTACAGAACAATCAATTCTAATATAAATCCCGACCTGAAGCGCTATCTTGACACTTGCAATAGGACCCACAGACAATAATAGACAAAAAAATCTGACATTCCCCCGTGTAAGACTAAATCTTCTCAATACCTGGAGTATACCTGGAGAGGATTTTGGGGGGTTCAACGTCCCCGCCGCCCGGTCTGTGACCAGGCCTCATTTCGGATCAGGGCCTGATGAACCAGGCTGTTACTGTTGGCCGCACGTAAACCGACGTGCGAACCACAGCCCGGTTGGTCACGTACTGACTTTAGGTGCCTGTCCAGCGCCTTCTTGAAGACAGCCAGGGGTCTATTGGTAATCCCCTTTATGTATGCTGGGAGGCAGTTGAACAGTCTTGGGTCCCTGACACTTATTGTGTTGTCTCTTATTGTGCTAATGGCGCCCCTGCATTTCATTGGGGGGATGTTGCATCTCTTGCCCAGTCTTTTGTTTTCATAGAGAATGATTTTCGTGCACAAATTTGATGCTAATCCCTCTAGAATTTTCTAAGTGTATAGAATCATGTATCTCTCCCGCCTGCGTTCTAGGGAGCACAGGTCGAGGAACTTCAACCGTTCATAGTAAGTGAGGTGTTTTATCGTACTTATGTGTGCCATGAAGGTTCTCTCTACATTTTTTAGGTCAGCAGCTTCACCTGCCTTGATAGGTGCTGTTAGTGTGCAGCAATATTCCAGCCTATACAGAACAAGCGACCTGAAGAGTGTCATCATGGGCTTGGCATCCCTAGTTTTGAAGGGTCTCATTATCAATCCTGTCATTTTTCTAGCAGAAGCGATTGATACAATGTTGAGGTCTTTGAAAGTGAGATACTCTGATATTATCAAATCCAGATCCTTTACTTTAGTTTTTCTCTCTATTGTGCGGTTTAAATTTGTTTTTTACTCAGATAAAGTTTTAATTTCCTCACTTTTCCTCATCGGAGTAACTGAGATTTCTTATCATTGAACTTCATATTGTTTTCTGCAGCCCGTTTTAAGATTTGGTTGATGTCCAACTGGAGTCTTGCAGTGTCTTCAATGGAGGATACTGTCATGTAAATTCGGGTGTTTTCTGCAAAGGAAGAGACGGTGCTGTGGCTTACATCCTTGTCTATGTCAGATATGAGGATGAGGAACAGGATGGGGGCTAGTACTGTGCCTTGTGGAACAGAGCATTTCACAGCTGCCGCCTCATACTTTACTCTGTTTATTGTTACTCTTTGCGTTCTATTTGTTAGGAAATTTTTGATCCATCTATCAACTATTCCTGTTATTCATTTATCACGCATTTTGTGCGCTATTCCACCAAGGTCACACTTGTCAATGGCTTTTGCGAAGTCTGTGTATGTTTCATCTGCATTTTGTTTGTCTTCTAGAGCATCCTTGGTGGTCCAGTAGTTGGGATAGGCAGAAGCGACCTGCTCTAAACACATGTTGCTCTGGGTTATGTAAATGATGGGTATCTAGATGAGTGACGATCTTGCTTCTTAGAATCCTTTCAAAGATTTTTATGATGTGGGATGTTAACACTATCTGTCTGTAGTTCTTTGCTACTGCTCTACTGCCCACTTTGTGGAGGGGAGGCTATGCCTGTTGCTTTTAGTAGCTGTGGGATGAGCCCTGTGTCCATGCTCTTTCTCCATAGATTGTGAAAATCACAAGATACATAATGTACAATGTACTAAAAAGGGCCCAAAATCTGGAACTCTACTAGAAATCTCGAGAATCACAGGTTCAGCTGGCAGTTTTAAAACTACAGTTAGAATACACCATCATAAATACATATGTAAAAAGTATACGTATATTTGCTAATTATCATGAACATAGTTAAAACTTTATAATCACTATATACTTACTGTCAATATCTGAAAACCTCTCTAATGTTAATCATTCCATTGTGTCCACCTTAGGATGATAATCAAAACTGTAATTCTCCTCTACCAAACTTATTAAGTCCATTTAACATGATTTAAAAGAATATTCAAATTTCATATACGTATTCATTAAATCACCTATTACCATATGTACAATTAGTGAACTGTTATTGTTTTATTAATGTTTAGTTGTAAGTTTGCCCGAAATGCTCTTCAAATAAAGGGGCTTTTGGCATGTACACCCAATTGTTATACCTTTGTGCAAACATGTATCATACTAAAATATAATTATCATTATAAATATGTATAAGTGTATATACAACCTGCAGGAGTTAAAGCACAAACCCTGTATGTATCATTATTTACTTCTATTTTTTTCAGGCAAGGATGTCACTGGAGTGTGGGAAACGTGCCGCGGGTGCTGGTAGCCACCTGGATCATTATGTCTCTGGTAACACTTACCTCGTATGTAGCCATGCTTATTGCCTCCTTCACTCTGCCTCAGCTCTCCCCGACTGTTAACTCCTTGGAGGATCTTGTACAGTCAGACCTTGCCTGGGGCATCCAGGTAGGAATAAAATGCCATTGTAGTGTCTTGTGTATTTACAGTATATTTAGAGGTCATCGCAGAGCTATAAGTGGCTCCTCATCTTTGTTCAATAAATGAAAATAAATATTTTGGGAACAATGTGCATGAACATATCTGAAAATCCCAGAGTATATACAACATACATTGGACAAATGATATAAACAAAATTAAAAAAAAAAAAACACCATAGCAAACTTACTGTAACATGCTAATCAGACCCTTCTCGTGCCATTCAATTATCAAGGATTTATCTGACCAGTTTTTAATTATACGTATTCACAAAAAGCACTAAACTCTTATACCAGTTTTTAAGTAAAGACAATCAGAATATTTGCTTCGGTGACATTACTTGGCATTTAGCTTCACTAACCACAGTTCATTATTAATCAGTTATCTTTATATAGCATTTTTTAAATTTGAGTTTGTGTCCTGTATCCATTATTTTGAGTTTCTTTTCGATTACGTAATTTTTGTGCCTTATAATACTAAGCTTTAGGTATCACTATGCAAGGAGTGATGTTTTTCAGCTATTACATATACTGTAGAACAAAATCTGTAATCTTACCGCTAGTTATGCCTACGGTGACAATGACAACTACAAAATTTTGGTCATATCCCATAAACTACGAACTTTTCGGTAATAAATTTTCCTTGTATTTAATAACCCTCGAAACTGGTAACAGGTAAATCACAAGAACGGGAAACAACTTTTATAGAATAAGCAACACTGACATTACTCCTTGGGAATACATGCCACCAGGTATGAGGTAACATCCAGCTTCATATATATAAACTGAGAGGTGTGTGTAGCTCTGTGTAAGAAAAGGGAGCATACTTTGAATTCCTGTTTTTATGGTTAAATTACCTTTAAAGGTTTGTGTACATGTGAAATCCAGCTACTTCTAGTCGCTAAACTTTAACACTAACATCTAACTGGTAAACGCTTTATTTTATGTTACCTTGGGTGCAGGATCATGAGGCTGGAGATTACCAGCTGCTGAAGACATCAAACGTGCCACTTTACCAGAAGCTGTTCAAGGGGCTGAAGGTATGCCCCTCCTTGGATGAATGCCTCGTCAGGGCCCGGGACACCAAGTATGCTTTCATAGCCTGGAGGCTCTTCATGGAGGACAGGATCGCTCTCAGGTACAGTACCCTATATCATTTATATCTATGGTTTATATACTGGTACTGGTGGTGGGACTGGTATGGTGATACCCACAAATAGGTAAGACACTTATGTACTGAGTGGCTTCTTAGCCATCTTTTACTTAGTGCTTGTGGTATAAATCCTTAGCTAAAAATCAGTTTGTTCCATTTATACTGATAATCTTGCCTCCCATTCCTCCTGTGCAGTATGACCACTGCTGGTTTGCTTCCCCAAGAATATTATAATAATAATGATGGTGTTAATAATAATAGTCTCTTTGATGCTCGTGAAGGGCTTTTTATTCCAGAAATTGGAGCTACCCTTGTAGTTCCAGGGGTAGGGATGTAGAGGGGCGGAGTTTTCCTTACTCCTCCGTAGACCCACTTAGACTAAAGAGTCTTTCATTATCACCACATAATACTGTCACTTCCTCCCACCTGGTGAACACTCTTTCTTGCCACTAAACTACTCTACTAATTAATTATATAAAATATTTCAAGTGCAATCTTATGAGAACAAGTCATGTACCAACTGTTAAAGGGATACAGACCATTACCCCAGCCTCATCCTCCACACCAGGCCTGTGTGGTCCTCTGTATTTTTCCACAGAAATCCTCTCTAGTCTGCCTTATGTTTTAAAGAGTTCGTCTCCCAATCGTCCCAACAATTTTTCTCTCAACAGACTGTCATCTAATCAGGTCCTCTCATGGACCTTTTCAGCCATTCCTACAATATCCAACAACCCTCCGTCTCTCTTATATGATCAAACACCAAAAATAGGCTGACCCACAAAGTGGGACCTACTGTCTAGTATTAGCCATTCGACTGAATTTCTGCATTGAATTAGTCCCCTTAAGATGAGAAAGACCATAGACCATCTGACCTCTACCCTGAACTGTCCAGTAATAAATAACACCAGTGAATTTGCCCATGTCACAAGGTTTGTTATTATAATTAAAACCAAGTGCTAAACATGTAAGGGTCATTCAGCTCTGCAGGGTAGGGTGCGCTAAAAGGTGGAATATGCTTGATCAGAGACTAGCGAGGGTAAAGAGTGCAACAGAGGATGAGTTAGGAAGGGTGGTGAGGAGAGCTAAAATATAATCAATGGTTATATATTAAATCTGTTGCTGCCAAAAAGTCAGAGAGGGAGTGTGTCAAAAATGAAGCCGTCAGCGAAGAGGGAAGATAAAATAAGGATGTTAGAGCGGCGACAACGACGGAGATAAATTCTGCCTGTTTACTGATAGACAGGACAGTCCAGTAGAATATGGCAAACCGAAATTGGAACCTGACAATTTGCACAGAGTGGAACTAGGCGCCTCTCCATGAGATACCCATGACTGAGACTTTTGTTCTCGATTCGTGGATAGGAAAGTGCAGTCTTCCAACCTCGTCTGAATCAGTGTTGTTGCCAGTGGTTGCGAAGGTGGCTAGAGATTACAGGAAAATAATCTGAGAATGGAATACCTCTTTATGAAACAGGGACATCATGTACCATTGACGGTGTAGCAGTCTGCCTGCTCGTTGCCCTGAACATCAACATAACCAGGGACCCAGCAAATAAAGGAGTTCGAGACTGCCACAAACGTAGAAGTAGGCATGGGTGCACTATGGATAACTGCTATGAGACTTGCATATAGTTCAGCTGTGAAAATGCTAGCTGGTGTCTCATAAATGACTATAAATAACACTGTCTGGGAACACTGCTGGAAACCTGACGCCGTCAGAGGATTTAGAGCCATCAGTGTAAACTCGAACGGCATGAGAATAAGACCGGAAGTGGTTAAGAAAAAGGGAGCGAGAAGCCACAATAGGTATTTGAGCTTTCACGCATGGTAGTGGGGAAGAACGGACACGAACTTTCAGAACCTTCCAAGGGGGAAGAAAAAAGTTAGAAGCAAGATGAACATAAAAAAAGGGGGGATTCAAGAGGAGTCAAGAGTGAGTGAAGATGAAGAAAATAGGGACCTCTACTAACGTCCGTTACTATCCTGTATGTAGAACGACCGTCGTCATGAGAGTGGACAAAAATAATGGAGGCAATGGGCATTACGTCGATCATTCAAGGATATAGGCTCTCTACAGGGAAAGAGCGAAAAGCTCCCAGACATAAACATAATCCCTGACGATGGATGGGAGCAAGTTTGGAAAGCATTGCGGGAAAGGCTGCAGAATATATCTGTCGCCACAGTATAGTTTCGACAAAATTATGGCTGAATTCAGCCTAAGTAGAGTTGGACGATCTGCGTCCACCACGAAAGATGAGCGAAGGTTTTAACGAGGTTCAGCCGGCTATGGCAAGTTGCTTTCAGGGTGGTAATGTGTGTTTCCTGGACAGCCGGCATTCAAACAGAAGACCAAGAAATCTGACCGTATCACGTTCAGGGATACAGGAACCATACAGGAACAATGGAGTATCAGTGACAACAGAACGTCTAGCGAAAATAATCTGGTGGGTTTTAGTACTAGAAAATTTAGACCCATGAGTAGTAATGGGAAACAACGGTTTATAGCATTCTTGAGGAGTGAGGCTGCTACTAGGCGACAGTCAGCACCTGTACAAGCCATAGCAAAGTCACCAACATGAAATGACAAAATATTAAATGGGACAACAGAGGATCAGATCATTTATAGCAAGTAGAAAGAGTGGTGTTAAGAACACATCCCAGAGGGACACCTTCAGCAAGGACAAAGTCAAAGGTAATGTCTCTCAGACAGAAAGTTTTTAAGGAAAAGTGGCAGATTGATTCAGAGACCTAAGGAATGAGCTTGGGCCAAGATGTGGCCCTTACAAAAGCCAAATTGATTAGTGGAGAGACTATTGTGTGTCTCTTAATACCACACCAAACGTCTATTTACTAGACGTTCCATCAACTTGCAAACTGTACTGGTAAGAGCAATGGGATGATAGTGTGGGGCATCATGGCCTGAAGTACCTGGTTTACGAAAAGGCAGAACAACGGCAGTTTTCTGGGAAGAACCTCATGCGACCAAATAAATTTAAAAAGACGTAAGAGGACTGCGAGGGCTGACGGATGTAAATACTGAAGAATGCGAATGTGAATGCTATCAGGCCCAGCTGCCAACGATCGGTAAACGGACGGTGTCGGCTCTATTTCTAGAAGTGTACAAGACACATTATAAAACCCTTCTCTGCTAAAACAAAAGTCTAAAGACAGTAACTCTCTGGCAGACTTAAAGGAAAGAAACAAGGGGCATAGATGGAGCTTCTGAGAGATGTGAACAGGATAATTTCCAAACTGCACTCATAGAGAAAATCGAAGCGACGGTAGAAAGATAATCTTCCAAAAAGTGCGTTAACCTTCTCGAATGACATGTCGAGCAACCACCCTCGCCCACTTAAAATCAAGGAGTCGCTCTGTGGTCCTGTTATGATATCGGCCCCATGCAGCACTTGTCAAACGCACTGTACGAACACAAGTAGGAAGCCATCAAGGAACACTTTTCTGAGGGTGCCTACCTGAGGTTTGAGGAATTGTACTTGAGGTTGTGGTTAAAACCAAAAACAAAAATAATTGCAATAGCTCAGCAGTTCAGGAAAAAGGAGGTTCTCCACTGAAAACAGTTTGATGTGAGTAGATGTCCCAGCTCAAAGTGCCAACATGGGATACAAGGAGGTCGAGAATATGTATGAGATAGGGAAATGATCACTGTCATGTAAATCAGGGAGCATAAATGGTATAAAATACAGACACAGTGGAAACATAAACACATATGCAGTTTAATGTGATCCTTTATTGACAACGTTTCGCCCACACAGTGGGCTTTTTCAAGTCACAAACAGATCTACCTGGGGTAGAAGGTACGCGAGTATTTATAGTCAGGTTCAGAATGTTGAGGTCAGGTGGAGAATGCTGCATCTGATGATCTACCGGGTGGGATTATAGAGTCTAAAATCTTGGGTAGCTTGGCAGGGGTATTGGACAAGTTGTGAGCAGACCTTCTGCAGTGTTCTATGTTCTTATGTGGGATAGCGATGAAGAAGTTTCTTGGCAAGTGGTTCAGCTATGTTATAGAAGCCATTGTTCTGGTTGAAATTGTTGGTTATAGAGATAAGCGATGATTCAAGGATTCTTCAGTATTGAGTGTTGTCTTCTGTGGCGATAAGTCTTGAGTTTCTGTAGTTAATTAAATGGTTGTGTGAATTGCGATGTTGTACACAGGCATTCCTTGTATCGTCAGTCCTGCTTGCGTACTGGTGTTCTGAAATACGTGTTTGGAGGTCTCTTGATGTTTCGCCCACCTATAATTTGTTGCAGTCATTACAAGGGATTATGTATACCCCTGCAGAGGATGGAAGCTTGTCCTGTCTACTCCTGGTGATGTCCTTGATGGTCGTGGTTGTGGAGGTGAATAATTGGAATGATGTATTGGAAAAGATGTTGGAAACATGTTTGGCAATGGAGTTGGTGGGGAGGACTATGTATCTCTTCTCGGCAGTGTCTTCTCTGGGTGTGTTGAAGATGTTTAATGCCCGCCGTCTGCAGTCTCTGATGAAGTGACGAGGATAGTGGAGTTTAGACAATAATTGTTCAATTATAGTGCATTCTCCATCAAGGAACTCATTGCTGCAGATTCTGAGTGTGTGCAGGAAGAAGCCTATAATTACACCACGTTTAGTTTTGGTGTCGTGGTGAGAGTAGAAGTGGAGAAGATCGTTTTGGTTGGTTGGTTTTCGATAGACTTTAAAACGATGTTCGTGGTCAATTTTGCAGAGAAGAACATCAAGGAAAGTACCTACTACACAAGCCATCGATCTCCTGCGCAGAAAAATTGACGATTCACTTTATCTTCCTATTCCAGCCAGCGATTTCATCGACCTCGTTGAACTATGTGTCGGCTTTACGCGTTTCTCTTTCGAAAATCACCTCTTTCAACAGACTTTTGGTCTACCCATGGGCTCGCCACTCAGTGCCGTTCTGGCGAACTTATACATGGAACATCTGGAAGCCGAGCGTTTCTCCACCATTATTCCTTCGACTGTCACCTGGCTCCGTTATGTTGACGACATTCTCCTCATAACTCCCAGGCGCTTCAACGTTCAAGCTCTCCAAGAAAAGCTCAACCAGGTCGAGTCCTTAGTCCAGTTCACACTTGAAGAAGAAGTCGACAACACTCTTCCTTTCCTTGATGTTCTTCTCTGCAAAACTGACCATGAACTTCGTTTTAAAGTCTATCGAAAACCAACCAACCAAAACGATCTTCTCCACTTCTACTCTCACCACACCAAAACTAAACGGAGTGTAATTTTAGGCTTCTTCCTGCGCACACTCAGAATCTGCAGCAATGAGTTCCTTGAGGGAGAATGCACTATAATTGAACAATTATTTTCTAAACTCCACTATCCTCGTCACTTCATCAGAGACTGCAGACGGCGGGCATTAAACATCTTCAACACACCCAGAGAAGACACTGCCGAGAACAGATACATAGTCCTCCCCACCAACTCCATTGCCAAACATGTTTCCAACATCTTCTCCAATACATCATTCCAAGTATCCACCTCCACAACCACGACCATCAAGGACATCACCAGTAGTAGACAGGACAAGCTTCCATCCTCTGCAGGGGTATACATAATCCCTTGTAATGACTGCAACAAATTATATGTGGGCGAAACATCAAGAGACCTCCAAACACGTATTTCAGAACACAAATACGCAAGCAGGACTGACGATACAAGGAATGCCTGTGTACAACATCGCAATTCACACAACCATTTAATTAACTACAGAAACTCAAGACTTATCGCCACCGAAGAAAACACTCAGTACCGAAGAATCCTGGAATCATCGCTTATCTCTATAACCAACAATTTCAACCAGAACAATGGCTTCTATACCATAGCTGAACCACTTGCCAAGAAACTTCTTCATAGCTATCCCACATAAGAACATAGAACACTGCAGAAGGTCTGCTCACAACTTGTCCAATACCCCTGCCAAGCTACCCAAGATTTTAGACTCTATAACCCCACCCGGTAGATCATCAGATACAGCATTCTCCACCTGATCTCAACATTCTGAACCTGATAAATTAGACACATGTGCAACTCTTGGGTATCTATTCAAGATTGATGGACTGACCACATCGACTCAAGGTTGAGGGACTGATTACCTCATTCTCCTCCTGTTCTTCAAGATTCTCCTTTGTATGGACTGATGAAGCCACTGTATGGCGAAACGTTTCCTCAATAAAGATACCCAAGAGTTGCACATGTGTCTAATTTATCAACATGTCGGTTCTCTGAACCATTCATCTACAATTCTGAACCTGACTATTAATGCTCGTCCACTGTGTGGGCGAAACGTTGTCACTAAAGGATCACATTAAACTGCACATGTGTTTATGTTTCCAAATCAGGGAGCACTTACAAGAATAGTTAAGTGCAGTTGAGGAGGAGCAAATTGAGAGCTCTATGCAAGAAAGAGTTTGAGTGGGAGAGTCGAAATGAGTGGGAGTACCTGTATTTAAAACCTGGAGAGGAGAAGTGAGAAGAGCCTCTAACTGATCACGAGAGTCACAGTGAGACCCTCTCCATTAAAATGTAATAAGAGGAGAGGAGGAGTAGGAAGTAGAGAAGAAATCAGAAATGCCACATGCAGAATAGATAATGGCCGATGAGAAAGATATAAAGACGAGACTGTATTCCACTTGTCCAAGTAAATGTAGGCTGCAGTGTAATGCAGCGAAATATGGATAAGGACCCGATAATGTGGTATACCTTGGAGCATGAGAAATACACTTTCATTAAAAGTCCCATCAGGAAAAGGATCTGATGAATGTAATAAAATATAGCCCAAGATGGGACGGAAAACAGCAGATCACAATTTTGGTTCTTGTAAACATACCCAAACAGGAAAAAACTGAGAGAGCAGCACCTGAGATCACGCCGATTACCCCCTAAGGCCTTGAATATTTCACTGTAAATTAGCCATGATCAGCTAATAGAGCATATCAGTAACATTTTGTAGATGTCCACTGACAAGGAGGGTCAGTAATGTCAACATGATGAGACATTGGGAAGCTAGTAAGGAGGAAAGTATTGGGATAATTTGAAGAAAGGCACATAAGATGTGAATGTGAAGTGACAGGGGGTGGACTGGTGTCCAAGATACGTGTTGTCTCCTCGATGAACGTGGAGATGACTTCAATAATTTCAGATGAGAGAGACGTCGGAGAGAGCTTGACAGTGGAGGAAGATGTAGTTTAGGTAAAAAGTGAAGAGACAAAGGAAGACACCAAAGAAGGGGAAGAGTTGTCTTGACAAGCAGAAATTTCCGAAGTGACAGGCGAGGGAGTAACTGTACATGGTGATGGATGAGCTTCCACAACAGTATCAGATGCATCTCGAGGTAAAGGTCTAGATTCAGAGATAGAGAGAGAAGCATGTTTGGGAATGTCACGTGGTTTGTGGGTTGAAGGAGATTTGGACGTAAGTAAAGATGCAGATTTCGGAGAAGAAGGGATATGTGGCGTCGATTTAGACTCGAGGGGACGCATAGACATTGATGCATGAGAGTGGGAAGGTAAAGAAGTAGAGACAGTAAGAGATGAGGCTGGAACCTCGGAACCCAGGACCGTAAAAAAGTTGGACACAGAGGTGATTGCAGAAGGGACACAGAGGCAATTGTGGAAGTAGGCACCACCAGGGTCTGGGGCGGTCTAGCATCCCTAGAATAAAAAAGCCATGGGAGCCTAGATAGAAAACTGCCACAGCCTAGAGAAACCCTCTTTTCTTTTTGACAAAGGATCTCTTTTTCTCTTAAGAAAATCAGACAGCAGCTAGAATAGGCAGGGCGTACCTTTTTGCAGTTAAAGAAAGAGGGAGGGTGACTGCAGGATGGACTGCTATGGTCAGCTGCACAACAGACAGGGCATTCTTCCACTGATCTGCAGTATTTTGCAGGCCAGTGACAGAAGCGCCGTCATTTTCTGCATTGTTGCGGGGTAGGGATCACCTCCCACACTTGTAGACATTGTCCCGTTTAGTAAACAGATGGTGGTAGTTCACGGCTGCCAAAAGTTAGCCTCGTTATATTGCAAGGATAGCGCTTCCGCCCATGGGCAGGGAGTATGTAACTGTCAACTTTAATGGTCGGGAGATTCTGGAGCTTGAGTTGCTCCAGAATGTCTTCATTGCAAGTGAGAAAGTCACGTTGTACTATCATATGTGGAAGGACAATAGAGCTACAGCAAGAATTAAGCTAAGTGTGCTTACGAGTCATAACTGGTATGTTTTCAACAACATCAAGAAGTGAAAAATTATGTGCCTGCTCTGCATTTTTTACAGTGACACCTCGTGTGCCACTCTTAAGAACATGGGAGGAAATGTTGTGCCCAACATGGCGAAGGAATCCCTTGCTGATGCTGTGGTCGGAAAGATAGTAGAAGAAATTGGCTGGAGAATAAAGAATTTTGTCTGAAAAGGACTTTGAAGGAATTGATTAGTTGGATGCTTCTTAGAAGCGTGAGAGGAAACTGAGGTAGAATCATCGGTGACAGATCGAGGTCGTTTGGATGAAAGATTAGAGGTGGACCGCCCTGAGTTGTGTGTATAATCCAAAAGTCGACGCACTGTATGTGGAGAAGTCAGAAGTGGCTAAAGAGTCGGTCGAAACCGCGGTACCATTAGAGGGTAACGGACCGTTACCCGGAGAAAGTACTAGGTTGGAAGAGAGGTTCAAAGAATGGTCTGAAGGCCTGCCAGGGTCAGTAAGGGGTGCTTCAGGTAAGGGCCCGGGAGGAGGCAGGTCATGGGCATGGGTCTCCATGATAAGTTCCCTCATTTTTATTTAAAAGATAGGGAGAGAAAAAGGGGTGAGGAATGTGGAGGGATTGCTCCCAGGAGTGAAAGGGATCGTATATCCTCCTCTGTGTCCCAGAGAGCCCTCAGTGCAGCCTGAAGTGCAATGCTATACCCTGCCCTTCATGCCCATAAACCAGCATCCCAGGACAGCAATCTCATCCACTGAGCCATCTCAGTGGACAAAAGAGTGGCCAGAAATCTACCACAAGGCATATCTCCTTCAGCCATCACCTCCCGGAACCGACAGGCTGCCTCCAGAGATACACTTGTCACCCGAAGGATACCCTTAGCCAGCGCATGGAATTCCAAAGGGGATCAGGACATCCCCAGACGATTCAGATTCCACAGCAAACACCACCACTACCAAGGACCTCAACAGAATGGGACAGACAACGACACCCTTTCCCCAAACTAGGAGCTAGAATTTCAGAGGGAAAGACCCCGAAGGCCAAAAGCAGGAATGGAAGGAGAAGGGAGGGATGGAGAAAGGACAGGAAATGGAAAGGATGGATGGAAAGACTGGGGTAAGGAAGGGGGAGTAGGGGGTAATTAGGTTCGGTTGGAGGTAGAAGATCAGAAGGTCCAAATCCTCAGACTAAAAGTCTTTTCACTGCGCCAAGGAGCCCCTCTTGAAGTGGTGGAAGTTGGCTTGATGCCTTATTAATCTTGCCTCACTTAAATACTAAATTAAAGTTGAAAGCAGGTCTGGTATTCTTCTCCCCTTTTCATGTCCCATATCTTATTACCCCTTATTCTTTAGTTGTTGTTTGACCCCTATGGGTTTAGCACTCTCACTTGAAACTGCTTATAATACACAGTAGTGAGATACAGAGGATGAGCATTGTACTGTGGTAGTGTTCGGACAGCGAACTTTAAACTCATGAAGTACTAAGTTAATTTTACACTGGTGAGGTACAGATAGTGAATTGCTTTATGTGGTGGTGAATCATAACAGGTTCAGTTCTGTGACGGGAGAACGGACGCTACACATAGCCACCACTAACTTCTTTCCCTCGGATATCGGTTGGGCCTTGAGCGCTGGGTGTCCGTACCGAAGCAAGTTCAACCAGCAGATCCAGCGGCTGCTGGAAGCTGGGCTCATCAGCAAGTGGATCTCGCAGATTGTCAAAGATCCCAAGAGACGGGAGGAAGTAGACACCAAGGAAATGCCAACCCCGGAAGGTCCGCAGCCTATCACCCTCGCCCAGCTGGCAGGAGCTTTCTACATCCTCGTTATAGGCAATATTTTTGCACTTTTACTGTTTTGGGTAGAAATTTTCAAAACATGATGTCACTGTAAAGATACAGGCATGTATACTGTAGCTATCAGATTAATGGTTGTATACTAACACCTAGTAATACACAGTGTACTAAATACCTTTCATAACTTACTGATCTGAGCTGCATTTTACATTTAATTTATTTACTAAATAAAGCAAAATTTAATCTTCAGTTACAATTTCGATTTTTAGTTTCAATTAAAAATTCTAAATCCAACTAAATATATTATTGTAATTAACAAGAAATGCACCAAGTTTTGCTGGTGAAATTACAAAGTTTATGTGGAATAACTTATCTTCATCCGCGACCTTTCAATCCGTCTTACACCATTGTCAAGTCATAATGAGGCGAGAAAAGTAGAGAAGATAGATTTATTGATGCGTCAAGGACTGTATTCTGACTTGAGTCTTAATCCTAAGATGACCGGTTGACCCATCTGAGGCTCTCGAAGGAGATATGTCTTTTTGAATCTGCTATTGATAGCTATGGAGTCTTCACCTGTGGGGAGGATGTGCTGTGCTTTGGCCTATGGTCAGCGTCATGCTGTAATGCCTGTGTGTTCACTGTAAGATTTATGTATTGCAGCTGAAGCACGATTGTCTCTGGGCTCTGTGTTGGATAGTCGGGTACATTTGCTAATAAACACATGGACTCAGTTTTGTCCATCATGCATATATACAAGAACATCTTCACAATGGTTTTGAGTATCTTTGTATTCTACCAAGTCTATTAGGTAGCACATGACCTCAGTTAAGGACATGGTTGTCGACATTATTTGATTACACTGATCTGCATGATTTTTTTTATTGACTCTATGATATCTTTATATATATATATATATATATATATATATAATATATATTATATATATATATATATTAATATATATATATATTTATATATATATTATATGTATAATAATATATGGAAAATAGTGATTCACTGTGTTTTTTATTCATCTCTATCACATCAGGCTCTCGAGTTATACGGAATGGTTACTTTTCTCTTTTCGTATAACATAAGTAAATGAGAAAGTGGTATATTACCAATTAAAATGCTTACCATATATCGACTTAAATGTTAAATACAATATATTTTCCTTTATTTCCAAATTGTTAATATGTCTAGAGGCTGCATAAATTCACTAGACATATTTTGCTGTGTCTGCGGGCAATTCATCCCTACAGATTCCCGGAGCAACATTACTCCTTTATTGAACCGTCTTCAAGGCGGATACACCAAAAAATATCCATGTTTTATGTGTCTTTGGAATAGTAGGGCAGACAGCCAGCACTATGAACAAAGACTGGCCACCAAGAACCAGCTTCTTACCCGGAAATCACAACGTGAAAACTGTGCCACTAGTTGACCCCAAAGAAAATTCTGCTGCCGTCACTCCACATCAAATTAGGGCTTATGAAAAATTTTGTGAAGGCCTTGAACAAGAATTGAACTGTTTTCAAGTACCTGGAGTCAAAGTTTCCTCGTATAAGTGAAGGTAAGCTAAATGCAGGAATCTTTGTTGGCCCTCAGATTCGAGAATTGATGAACGACAAGCATTTTGATGAAGCATTAGCAGGTGTTTAGGTGAATGCCTGGTTTTCATTCAAGCAGATTGTCCACAACTTCCTGGGAATCAGGCTCTCCCCCGAATATGAAAAAAATTATCCAAGACCTGATTTCAGGTTTCCAACAATTTGGGTCTAGAATGAGTGTGAAGATGCACTTTTTGCACTCACATCTTGACTATTTTCCCAACAATGGAGGGGACTACAGTGAGGAACAAGGAAAGAGTTTCATCAGGATATTTGCACAGTGGAAACTCGATACCAGGGCAAATGGAATGTCAGCACGATGGCGGATTACTGCTGGTCATTGAAACGTAATGGTCTTGATGCACAGCACAAGCAAAAATCAAAGCTGTCCTCCTTCTTTTGATTCAATATGTAGGCTAACCATTTGAGCATACTTTTTTAATACAATCATTTGATGTTTTTCATGTTGATTTGGAATTCATATGTTCTTGAAACTAACAGAATGTCCTTTTCCATGATTACTTGCCTAATTTTAACACATCAACAATTTATTAAAAATTTACGTATTTTATTATCATTAATTTGTATTTTATTCAAAATCCGTACGTAATAGAGCAAAATGGTTTACATATTTAGAATAAGCAGCCCAAGAGTATGTAAGATCGCAACCATGAATAAAAATAAAAATTAAAAACATTCCAAATGCAGACCAGTGTTATTCAGGGGTAATACATACCGCAGTATTTCTTTGGGGTGGGGTGTTCTTCACTAATGGCTGTTGTGGTGTCAGGTAGACACGTTGATGGTAATCAGTTTCTGCAGCATGGACCCTGCTAGCTGCTGTTGCGGGATGTGAGCTCGAGCAGAAGTGTCGGGAGTCGGCTGAGCAAGGACACAACATTGTGAATGATGTTTTTTCAGCTTCCTCCGTTGCTGTGTTAGAGAAGGTGGCCCTGGGTTCTGTGGTACTGCAGCCTCCTCTGGATGATACTGCTGCTCAGTGGTGCGTGCTCTACTCTACTCTGTTGGAGGCTGGACAACCAGGATTTTCCATGCTGCCTTCCAGGCAGTACATGTTCCAGGCATGGTTCTTCTTCCTGTAGTATGGGCATCGAGGTTCTGTAGCCTCAGACTGCTTTAGTTCATCAAGTAGTCCTTCGTCAGATGAGACCCGCTGCAGACAGTGCACTTTTCCCTAATATGACATTGGGCACTGAGGTGGTTATACCTTTCGCACCTGAAGCACCTCAGATGTTCTGGATTGTATGCCATAAATTGGTAATTTTCCTAGGAGCCGAGATCCAGGTGAGCTGGGACAGGTTCTATATGTCGAATCAGAATCTGCCTCATTGGTATGTTGCTATCCTCCTTGACTGTGAGCCGATAGCCCATTAGTACACCTTTGCGAGACCAAGTAGCACTCACAGTTCTCTGTTTCTGTAAATCTGATTGTAAACCACATTTCAAAGTCTGTCGCAAACCTACCAATCAATAGGCTCTTCTCCACTACTGCCACTTGTACCACGACACCAATACTAAATGTGGCATCATAAATAACCTTTTTCCTAAGTGTTCTTCATATCTGCAACAGTCAATTAATTTAAGAATGCGCTTTCCTATAATCAAATCTTTCTAAACTTCACTATCCTCGTCATTTCACCAGACTGTAGGTGCCGTGCACACATCTTCAGCTCACCTAAATAACACATCTGAAAGAATGTAGTGTAAATAGGCCTCCCTAACAACTATACTGTTAAACGAATCCCCAGCATTCTCTCTAACGCCAAATTCTAAGTATACACCACTGCTTCCACTACTACCAAAGACATCAGTAAAGGATAGTCAAGATCATGGTACAGGTATACACAATTCCTTAAAATGATTTGTGACCAAATATACGTTGAGGAAACATCAAGAGACTTTCATACATGTATTTCTAAACATAAATATGCCAGCCGAATAGACCCACCTGATCATTACAATGGCGCACAACTGATTGTCGAATATGACATTTCAAAATGCATAACTCTGGAATCGTCACTATTTAATAAACTTCATCGCTAAACGACTTCATCCAGAACAACAGCTTCTACAATATAGCTTAGCCTCGTGCAGGTAACTTCTTAACGATATGGAAGAACACTGCAGGAGGCCTACTGGCCCAAGCTAGGTAGGTCCTTCATTAATCCAGCTTCTTCTCAGCCATTGAAGTAAATGGTATAAAATACCGACACAATGGAAATATAAACACATATGCAGTATAATGTGATCCTTTATTGACAACGTTTCGCCCACACAGTAGGCTTTTTCAAGTCACAAACAGATCTGAACATTAAAATGGTATAAATTACCGACAGGTTGTTAGGTAAGACACATATGCAACAGTTAGGTATCTTTATTTCGAAACGTTTCGCCTACACAGTAGGCTTCTTCAGTCGAGTACAGAAAAGTTGATAGAAACACAGATCTACCTGGGGTGGAAGGTACGCGAGTATTTATAGTCAGGTTCAGAATGTTGAGGTCAGGTGGAGAATGCTGCATCTGATGATGTATCTTTCTTTTTGATTATAATAATAATGATGATGTATCTCATTCCAAGTATCTACCTCCACAACCATGACCATCAAGGACAGTACCAGTGATAGACAGGACAAGCTTCCACCCTCTGCAGGGGTATACATAATCCCTTGTAATGACTGCAACAAATTATACGTGGGCGAGACATCAAGGGACCTCCAAACACGTATTTCAGAGCACCAATACGCAAGCAGGTCTGACGATACAAGGAATGCCTGTGTACAACACCGTAATTCACACAACCATTTAATTAACTACAGAAACTCAAGACTTATCGCCACAGAAGACAACACTCAATACCGAAGAATCCTGGAATCATCGCTTATCTCTATAACCAACAATTTCGACCAGAACAATGGCTTCTATAACATAGCTGAACCACTTTCGAAGAAACTTCTTCATCGCTATCCCACATAAGAGCATAGGAATGGAAGGTCTGCAGAAGGTCTGCTCACAAACTTCGTTCATTCATTAGAGATTCGCCGGTACTTCCGGCCCGGGTGGCCTCACAAACTTATCCAATCTCCCTTCCAAGCTACCTAAGATTTTAGATTCTATAACCCCACTCGGTACATCATCAGATGCATCATTCTCCACCTGACCTTATCATTCTGAACCTGACTATAAATACTCGCGTACCTTCCACCCCAGGTAGATCTGTTTGTGACTTGAAAAAGCCCACTGTGTGGGCGAAACGTTGTCAATAAAGGATCACATTATACTGCATATGTGTTTATATTTCTTCTCAGCCATATATCTGTCCAACCTGTCATCAGTCTACCCAAGAATCAGCTTCAACATGCCTCACCTGACTCTTCCCATCACTGTGCATGATAAAACCCACTGTGTGGGCGAAAGGTTGTCAGTAATGGATAGCATTATACTACATGTCTTTATCCATCATGTCGGTAATTTATCATTTCTCTCACTGTACTGTATATTATATTGTATACTATACTTATACTGTATACTATACAATATTTTTTAAAAGCATCCCGAAATAATTTTTTTTGTATTATAAAGATCATGATTTATATT